GCAAACGTTTATTTAAACTCACCGCGCGACATTTGCAAAATTCCAAATCCGTCGTTCCGAGCGTTCCAACCTCAGCACCTGGGGTTAATTCATAACGTTTCTGCATACTTCCACTCGTTTCCAGTTCCCTAACGCATTTCCATCCCCTATTTCACTCGACGCGCCTCCCTTGTGAATATCAAATGTCCTTTCCTCTTGCGCAACCTTTCCAAAGGAAAACAGTCAACCAGGTGTACCACCTCCAACCACCCATTACAATGTATTAAGGTTAACCGGCGCGTCGACAATACAAAAAAAAAACTCAACCTCTATCGATCAGTAGAAATTTTACAAAAACCTTTCTCCATCTTGTATTTCTTAGTATTAAAAAAGAAAGGAGACCTACGAGAAACAGTATCCTTTCATCCATATACTATATATTATCCACTCTGGATGCACTCGTGAATAATGCAATTATCGCGAAAAAGAATTTAAAAAATTCGATATACGAGTGATATTTCTCGAGCAGTTTCTATGGAAACTCAGAGACAAATAGCGTAAGGATAAACCAAACGTGAATCGATTTCATAGTCAAGTTTTTAATATTAATAACGTTTCTGAAATATTCAAATGTAGCGGTTGACGTTGAGGTTACGTTCAACGCCGCGAGCGTAGGCACTCTTCGCGCTAGACATAATTTTACCGATACGATCGTCCCAAATGTTATTATAAATAAGTTTTATGTATTTCTAACCTCCTTTATTTCAACCGTCGAACCACATGGAATTTTGCGACTGTCTTAAGTCACGTTATGATTTCTCACGTTTCTTGTCCAAAAACTGACTGGTCAGCTGTTTCCTATATATCGAGAACCGAAATTCGCATCTCTGTCAATCTGGAATCCCGACTTAAAAATATTATAATTTTCAAAATGCTATTCAATTGTACCCCGCTTGTACCAATTTTATTTTCGTTTGTACCTCAAAGGGTTGGAATTTCCAGGGGGGGGTTAAAAAATTTTAGAACCCGACTTTAAGTAAATTTAATTCCGTTTGCAGGGATAGTTTTATAATTTTTAGTACCCGTTTGTACCACCTTTCTTTTCGTTCGTACACCAAGGGGTACAGAGGGTACATAATTTTCAAAATTTTCCGTCACGCGGTTCCAGGTTCACAGAGGTGACATTCGCGAACGGTCATATCGGGCCTGCGCGTACAGGATGCGCAGTGGCACTATGAAAAACAAATCATGGCGTCCTTTTATTTTTTCCTCCTAACAAAAAACCACGATTTTCAATTATATCGCAAAATTCCATTGGATCGAATAAATGTTCGATATCGATATTTTCCAACATTTTAACCCAAAAAAAGGTAGCATTGCAATGAATTAACAGTTACGTACTTAATACGACACAACGATCTACGGTTAACGGAATAAGTAAATTGAGATTGTCACAAGTAAGAAATCTCATATCGAGAGTACCTCAAGATTCGTAATTCGGACCTTTATTATTTCTCGTACACACAACAGATTTACCACCAATCACAGAAAAATCAAAACTATACTTGTATGCCGATGATAACCAATTAATGAAAGGCTGTTACGCGACGAAAATAAGGAAGGCTGAAGAGGAAGTTACAAGAGATTTAGATAATACAGAAAGCTGGACTGAAGAGCAAGCGCTTCTAATTAATCAGAAAAAAAATCGCTAGCAGTAGTCATAGGTAGAACAAAAGCGAACTTTCGAGTTCGTTAAAATTAAGTATTAAGGAACAACGAAATCGTGTGCAAGGAAACAGCGAAAAACTTACGTCTAATTCATTACGGACTCTGGACTAAATTCTGAGCCAACGTGTCTTAGCAAAATGTTCCATTGCATTGGCCAGACTCCTATTAATATACCTGTACAGGCATATGTTTTCCACCGAAGCGAAGTTGAATATTAAGCAAGCTGTTGTACGATCGATATTTGGCTATGCAGATTCTGTATATGGACCACGCATCGCCGATGACGTGGCCTGGAAGATTCAGAGTTCAAAACGCATGCATCAGATTTTCGTACGAAATTAGAAAATTCGATCACGTGTCAGAATTTAAGAAATCGGCATAGATAAATATGAAGCTTAGACGTGTTCTACATATGTGTTCTATGATTGATAAAATCTGCAAAACAGGAACTCCGGATCACGTGGTTCAATTGTTGACCACGAGACGTCGCCACTTTGCGATACCGTAATTACGAACCAAAAAACCTTACTGATGACGTCAGCACGTACGACAGCGAAATTCAGAGGATCATTTTCGTTCGTTGCGGCTCGTTGGTATAATCTAATTAGGAAAAAAGTAAGGAACCCCTTCCGCGTGTGTTTAAGGAAAAAATAGAGAAATTTTTTGAAGATCCAAATGTTACACCTGAGTTAATTAATAAGCACAGGTCTGAATTTGATCTGCAGGGGTCAGAATGCAAAGCAGCAAATTATGTAACTGATTCTTGCCCTTTGTCCTTAACATCTTGACAATACGGACGATATTGTTGTTATTATTATTATTATTAATATCATCGACACATGCAACTGTATATACGTACATAACCTGTAAAAGGAAAGGTAAAAGCCCGACAAATGCCTTTTACGTGTACAACAACGGCCATTGTACGTCAAAAAATTTGGTTCTCAATATCGCGTTGCTTGCAGACCCAATTTTTTTCTGACAAAATCCAGCACACACGTCTGTATTTCCCGATTCAAATTAACTTCATTGATACGGTTAAAAAATAGTTATTGCTACCACGCATCAATTTTATCACAAATACCCAAAGGTGATGGATATAGAAACAAAAACCTGTAAATACGCATACAAGAGCGCCTTACAGGTTGCCTCGACGTTGCAAGATAAAACTATTTCGTTAATAGAGTGCTTGGGTACGCCTGGCTCTTTTGTCGGAGCAAACCAAATTCCAGATTGCTCCACAGCGCCGTAGCCACGATCGAGGCGATCGATGGCGGCCAGGAAAACGCGACCAGTTAGGTCAAAGTGGTAGAGGAAAAAATGATTTAATAAAAAGGAAAAAAAATTTGAGACCCATCTCGTACGGTGCAATGGCGCTACGAGGCAACACAATTTTGCGGATAGGTTCAGAGCGCAACCCTTGTTTACAGGGGGTGGATAAAATTTGTCTTTTTTTACAGTCTCCTTTGAGGATAAAAAGCAGTAGTTGCAGTTGAAAGCTAGACGCGTTGCTAGATTACTGTTGCGTAATCTACTGTGTAGGATATATATATATGGTATATAGTGCAATACGCTATATGCGCCTATTTCTACTGTATATACGAGGAGACGCGTGCACCAAGGATCCCTTAACTTCCTGTTGTCCTTAACTTCCTCCTTCGAGCAACTGCGAATCCTCCGGAGTAAAATACGTTACGTCCGTTTTCTCTCGCTGGAACAATGCTATCCTGATACAGCGCGAGACGGACCCACCGGAAGTACCTATATACACGCCTGGAGTTGAAACTCCTTCTGGAATCTAATTTGCACTTTGAAAACGTTGCGATGCACTCGATGCTCCTTGATCTTCCATCTTTTTACTTGAGTAAGTTTACGTTGTATCCTTCTACCACTTTTTTTGGGGTCTCTGTATTCTTAAACCAACCGCGAACTTGTTGCGCGATTCCCTTCGGGTGACGTAAAATGTACGTGCATAGGTGTGTGAACTAAACGGTTTACCCTACTTGCATATGTAAATGAATAATTTCATGTGTCAATTATTTATTGCTTTTCGAATTTCATTTTCACAATAAAATTTTGAGTGATGTTTCATTTTTAGAATTTTTTTTAAAACGGTCAAGCTTGTTCACCGCGTCCAATATACGTTTGACGTTTTTATGGATACGGACTCTGTGACGAAATTTATTCATTAGTTGGGTAAATATAATTCCTTTGTATTTCACTGATTTTAATTGCGTTCTTAAATTTACTTGTTTTTTAACGGCAGGTATATATACGTATAGCTGATATTGTGGCTGGATAATATTTGTACAGTATACATATGCGTGATTACCATGCAAACTGTAGACACGTAATACAACGTAGCGTCGTTACTGTGCATCAATCTAGATGCAACGAGTATTTACGAATAGGCAATTGATATGCGAATATCGAGTATACAGAAACGAGTGGAGATTTACCAGGTAGACGAGCAGACATTAGCGTGAAATTATTCTCGATATTGGAAATTTGGTTTAAAAAATGTAATATTGAGAAAATTATTACCGAAATATGTGTACGTACTATACTCGTGGTACATTACTTAAATCAAGAAAAGTGCACACATTGCACAACACGAAGATAATAAAAGTGACTGATCGCGTTCAGTAATCAATTGTTTGTTAATATATAAAAAGTTGCTTACCTTGTCTGCAATCAGTCGTGGTATAAGAATCCAGTGATAATCCAATTTACTTTGGTTTAAGAAAAAACAAAGTCACTCTCGAGGAACAAGAAAGAATAAAAATGTAGAGGCGAAGAAGTTCGTCCCACAAAAAAGGTATGAAAGGACACGAGTTTATTGCGAAGGTTAATTCACATAGATGATCAGCTATGAAATTCACTCTCACTGTACTCCCGGGTATGTGCGATCGGAAAGAAAGAAAAAAAGGTCCCTCTAAAATATGTATTGCACGCTCGGGTTTTGCCAACGCAAGAAACGACGTCTCACGCACGCAACGGTCGCGCACAGACTGACGAGCCAAGGCGTCAGGATCGCACGAACCGAAGTTGCCGAGAGTCGCGCACGTTCGCTGCCGTCGGCTGCGGCTACGAATATAAACAGAGCCTGAAACCCTGAAAGTCCTCGAGACCGAACTGCGCCGGAATATAAGTACACAGAGATTACATAGTGTAAAATATCGTTGGCCGCCGCCAGTACCCTCTAGCGGCTTATTGGCAATACTATCTTTAACACTGCTGTAGACGCCTGTCTGGAAAACCTGTTACGTTTTCTTATGGCGTTAGAACAGTGACTCTAGCAGACGCGACTCATTTCACGGTGATTCGGATAACTTCGGCTTTTCACTTTGCTATTGCTTTGCTATGGGCTTGGACGGTACTCTAGTCTATCTTTCTATTCTATCGTATTATGTCGTGCGACGGTTGGCATGAAGATAAAAGTAAATGAATATCACGTAATATTATGTTGGGGATGGATAATATTATCTTTCGGGGATCATATTCTTTTATTGTTATTAGGAAGGATCTTTTGGGCGAGGTTGAGGGTAGGATTTGTCTGTGTGAAATCGATATCTTTTTCTTATCACGCCAGTGACAATGGAAACAAATTATTGTGATACCAGTGACAAATTTTTTAGGCAAAATGGCCGACGTGGAAAAATATCGTATGGAAATACGATTTCACCATTCGGTATGTACTTGAGCAAATTATTCGTAGAACCTGACATTTCTAAAAAAAAAAGATTATTTCACCGACGATAAATAACTGATGTATCGACATTCTGCCAGATATGCAAAGGGCTCCAGGGTCTCATATAATTTATGATTATCGGGTCAAATGCAATTTATAATGTTGAAATAAAAATATGAGAGCTTCTCTCGCCTGGCGTCATAATGATTCCACCAAAGCATTTTTTAACCATGTATTTTTCAACTACATTGCAATATCGAACTTGGACTGTACTAGGTATTTCATTAGCCTAGACCACAGATACGGAATGATATTTTATTAGGTTACTTTTAGCTTTTAATATTCGCCTGCCGATATCCCCTAACTATTCTATTTATCCTTCGTCCAGTTATTAATAACGTTTATTACCTATCAGGGCTGTACCTTTATTATATTTTTTTCGCCAATCTTACTTTCCCGCCTGGATTGAAAATTCGCCATAAGATATTTATTAAAATCTCGGTATTAATTTTCAAACGCATTTCGACATTTATTAGTGAACTTTAATAACAGCGATCACATTCAGTTCTTGATTTCTCTTTATAGAATCAGACTGAAATTGTATATAGGATTCATTATAAAATTTATAATTGTTTTCAAAATCGTAGTGGGGGCTTCAATCAAAGTTTTAATGCGCAATTAAACAATTTCAGTAATACGGATTTCGCTAAGATCATCTCTGATGAGAATTCAAGAAAGATTGGGTCTTACAGTTATCAAAATGGTCTCTCTTAATAATCTTTTCTTTTCTTATACGACTAATTGAATAATCAGACACGTTCGTTCCATCCTCTTTAAGCATAAGATTGCTCGTAACGTCAATGGCGACGTTTCAGCTGGCAACTACGGTCACATGAGTTATCATCCCTGTAACTGTAAATCGGTGCGTTAGGATGTTTGACGGCGACCAACGAAATTCCCCAGGGGCGTGACTTGGGGAAATGCATAGAAAAAGTGTCAACACGGATGAATATCGTTCGTAGGAGTATTTATTTATCTGTCATATAATACAATGTCATATAATACAAAATAATACAAATTGAGTAAAACAGCGAAGGGATATCTTAAAGTCGAATTTTTGAGATAGTGATTTTTAATCCCTTTTTTTCTGTAATGTAAAATTTTATAAATTACTAGTATACAGGAAATATGAAAAAAAGGGTGGAATATTTCAAGATTGTTTTTTTTTATTTGTCTGAAACAAATAGGTGAAATAAATCGTACTAGGGAATTGTAGGTTAACAAGAAAAAGCTATAAAACCATATTACTTCTCCCATTTATTGCGTCGGTTTGTGTTTTACCGACGATTGCGTCCATTGAAGGATTAACATGTATGTCGAGCGAAAAGGATTGAATTTATGCTTTAAAATTATTTACCTTCCATTACACAGCCCGCAACGCCATTCGACGTGAATCACCGTGATAGATTGTTTATTCGATAATTTTCGAGCTTCCACAATTAATTTTTATTACGTTAAACAATTTATTTTGTGTCTTTGGAAAAATTTCGTACTGTCGGTATTTATATCTAGGTTAAATATTTCTACTTACCGACCGAGTTACTAGCGTCTGGGTTCGTCAACGGCGTGATCGCAGCCGCTCAATGCGATTCGATGTCTCTCAAGGATTAAATCAATGACCGCCTGTCGAAATATAAAGAGAATTGGAACGTTCAAGCTGCTACGTGATTGCAAAGTCTCGTTAAGCTTTTGTACGCTGAACGAAGGTAATGATTAAGTCGTTAAGTTAAATGAACGCTGCATGACCATTCAATTTTGCTTCTGCTATCTACGATCACTTTCATACTGGCTTTCTCGACATTTTTATATCGCGATAACGAACGGGACTCTGACAACTCCGTAAATCCAACTGATCATTCACTTTTTTCAATTGCAGATCAATCAATAATCGACAGACGCATCTACTTTTATTTGATAAGCTTTAAAATCATTATTATACTAATATGCAATATTTATTTTTTTATTGTACCAATCATTTCGTCACGTAAAATATATTTGTTATATATTATACAATTATTCGCAAGCGTACAAATTGGACTGTTTGAACGGGAACATATGAAATATGGTTTTTGGAAATATACCTAATTACGTATCAGAAAGTCTTTACTTATTTTAGAGGGGAGAAGTATTGTGATAAATTATTTCAATTTTTTTTTAGAATCAATTCCTAATGATTATACATATATATTAATATATTATTTAACTTATTCGCAGGGGTATAACTGCTTTTTACAAGATTTTAAACACATTATTAGATACATTTTTATTTAGAATAAGGAAAGATAAGTTGGTAACGGAAGTCTACGTTGTATCCAGAAATGAAAAATAAATACATTACTGCTACTACATTAAGACATTATTACTATTAGATACATTGTCAAGTACATTAACGTGACGTATTATTACGATCGTATTATTTTATTCGTAATTTGTATTCATGTAATGCAAAGTATAATATATGTATAGTAATCTAAACTATTATTATATATATATATAGTATATATGTTACATACTGTATGTGACATCAGAGAACAATGGAAAGTTTCCCGCATAGAGGGAAGTTCATTATAACTGTGTGGAAGTTGATAAATTTTCACAAGTAATCTTTTACATGATATAGACAATATACAAAAACGACTATTATCCGTAATCATTGATATTTATTGTTGAATTACATTTGTTATAGGAAAGAAAATGTTAAGAAAAGCAAAATACTGTATTTCTAAATAATCCTATTGTTTATTTAAAAAATACACATTCTATTCGAAAATCACTTATCTTTCTATTAAGTCAATGAAAGCAAATTAGATGTTTGTCATTTTTGCAAAATCATTGTAAGATTCCACTTTTTTAGAATGTACAAAAAGAATAGAGATTTTTTTAAAAAACTCGAGACGAGTCCACATTTTCTCATAATTGAATCAGAACACCGGATTAAACTTTTTAATTAGAATTCCTACCTTACCGACTCTCGGTTTACGTAAAAATGCAAAGTTCTAAAAAAGAAATTTGAATAGTACATTTTTGTCCGGTATGACCAATAGAGATTACTTCCTCTGGCCGATCCTGTGGACTCGACATAATTTATGGTGAAATCCAGAAAATTAAGCATAATGTCGTTGAATTGCAAATAGCGACCGTTTTGCGAGCCTGTTCGTCAAGGGAAACTATTCGATTACGTTGGCTGCTCTGGAAATGAAATTCCTCGGCTGTGGTATATTATAATTAACATATTTGAGACCAAAAGGATCTTTTGTGTTAAACACGAATAAACGTCCTTTGCCTTTCGACCTCTTTATTTCGCCATACTTCCTTCAGCCTTTGCTGTGCTGCCTGATGCCTGCCTGTTTGACTTGACTGCACTGCCTAACTGCATAAGTGCTTAAGTGCAGAGATGTATGGCTGACGTTATGACGCCTTCCATTTTAGTAACTTGCAATTAAGGTTCGCGTCATACGTTTTAATCTCGTCCTAATGAGCTTTTCATGAAAATTCAAATAAAGCCATTTGTCGTAAATTTGAAATTTTTCATATTATCATTATCCACCGTATACCGCACATCATTATGATGAGAACAGCCTTGAAACAATGTTGATTTAAAAAAAGTTCTATAATTAATTATTAATTAACATGCGATTAAAATAAACATTCGATTCCGTTAAATTAATCAATGCCAGTCTATATAGTTAATTGCAGCGCCTCTGACGAAAAGCCAATACATATATAATTCAAATAGCTGGACGTCCAGGTCAATTGGTTTTTTTCATTAATTCCCTAATTCAACAAAATAATCTGTTGCCCTTAAAACCAATGTACACTGTAATGCATAAAGAATATATTTATAATGATAATAAAGCAAAGTTCACTTTTTCCACAGGGACGCAGACGACGCAGATTGAACTGGGAATTGAGACGCTGGAGCAATGCACGGCCCTTAATTAGGGGTGCTGAAGGAAATAACCTAACTACAGATACCCAATAGAAGCATGAAAAACAGTGTAAATGTATTCTCTATCATACGCCTATGTCCCATGGAGGAGCAGAACACAGATTGAAGGTCCCTTCGCTCTGCAGCTTCCTTCTCAATGGGCGACAAGGTAGAAGACCCAAGAGGCTTGCGATGAGTGCCCGTAAGCAGAGAGTTTTCATGAAAGTTTATGAAATCGCCAAGTAATACTGGCCAACCTTAAACTCATATAGGTTGTATTTCATTTTGTTGTTCTCAAACAATTTTGCAGTTACGACGTCAGGCAGCGTCGCGACGGATCCTCGTGGTGTAATGAGAGGGATGGAGGGTCTCCTGGAATTTTGTGGAAAACGCGCAGCCGTTTACACATATCTACAAAAAGCCCACCAACGAACCAGCCAAGGAGCGTACAAGGTGCATTGGATAAAAAAATGTCCAAAAATTCGTATTACAAAAACAAAAACAAAATTAGAGATTTCGATTGTCAAATTGCTGTCCTAACCATATAAATTTCCAGGGGTTAATAAACCAAGTACGGTTGGTACACGTAGCGACATCAGTTCTTCGTCCAGGGGCCAATGGCTGCACTACTCGCAATATAAAAGAGTCCCCTGATTGTACAACTGATGTCGATCTTATGACTTGAGCCAGCGGCAACTTCAGCCTCCTTCCATGTCTACGTCGAGACGTCCTGATCTCTGCAGATTCACCCTCCGAGGGCGGAGATAAAAAAAGGACCAGTGGACAAGGACAGTAGGTGGCTCCTGGTTTGTCCTCCTTGGGTCGTCGTTGTTCCCTTACCATGTCAGAGGGGAAGTTTTTTTTTTCTTCCTGAGCTTTCTTCATTCGCTAGTCGGTTTTTCCTTTATTGTATTTTCATTCTTCGTAGATGGACGATCACTCGGTCTCTTTAACTTCTATACAAGGGATAAACTCCAGGCAGTGTAGAATCTCGAGGGTGGCTACCCTGAGAATTTTACGGTAAGTTTTCTCCATACTTTGTATATACATATATAAACGTACTATCTAGAAAATCCTCTGAACTTTTGTATCCTCGATGGACATTCAATTTAGCATCTTCTTTAACGCTCAAAAATATTTATGCTTCTACCTCCTGCCGGAACTTCCGGTTCCGTCGATCCTTGCTGACAAATTATTCATAGACGAATTTAAGGTTATGAAAATTGTTTTAAATATAATCTTATAAAATTTTGTTTGATCCAGATTTTAAAAAAATATTTAAAAAATATTTTTCCTTAACCTAACCTTAAAAGCAAGCATCTTTTACAGTAAAGTCAATAATGCTGCAGTCGATTGGTATTCGTCGATCCATTTCAATTATTCAAATACACTGAATACCCAGGTAAGTCACGCAGCTTAGAGGAGAGGAGTTTGCGGTTGTAGTCGAACTATCGGAAAAACCAATCCCCGTCTGATTGGAAGAGATTGATTTTCAGTCGAGGTAAAACTGTCTTCGAGTCATTGTTGTCTTATCGGTTATACGGAGCGATATTAATAGTCTTTCTTCATTCCTAAAACCCGCATCCCTCCCCCAAGGTACCCACTGTATAACCAGACTTGGCTTTATCGTTTTTTTTTTCTTTATAGGCAAAAAGACAAAAATATATATATACATACGAACAGTTGATGCGAGAAAAATAATTACCCAAGCAAGCCGAAGCTCGGTATTAGCTCTCTGGAAATATTGTAATTTCACGTATCGCGTAAAACTCTGGCAGTAACAATTAATCAGAGGAATCGTTGCTTTGGGTCATTAACTATACCTTTGCTCGACGTGGAAAAATTGTTCAGAGTGCGTCCGGCCAATCCGGAAGGCGCTTCATACCTCTTTCTAGCGTGCAATTTTTTGCGCCCCACCCACCCCCTCTTCTTTTTAAGCTATTGCACCGAAAGTATCACGTGCTGGAAAATAGTGTAAGGAACGGTTGGGAGTTTTCGGTATGTCCATTGTATGGTGTATTTCTACACTGTAAAGCATTTGTAAAAAATTTGGTTGAATATGGATTTTAAAAAATGACGTTTATTAAAACCTTAGTTAAAGGAATGACGGTTATTTTCAATGATAAATATAATTAATGTGTAACGATTAAAAAGCATTTTTTTATTGTAGTTGGAATTTTGGTTAGTTGGTTGTAATTTTTTTTTCTTTTGAAATTTACGGGACTACAGAGTTATTCAGGCTGAACGTATCGTCTGGGGTTGGGCTGTCTATTTAATTTGTATAGTTGAATCAAATTTGATTGTTGGGTGTGTAATGAATGACCCTGTATATTGATCGATGAATGATTTTAATGAATCATTAAAGGCTACGTGTGTTTTTGATGTTTGGAAATGAACATGTTGCATGTCTGCTCTGTCGCTTGGGTCATATGCATGTATGTATTGAGACCACAGTGCTGTAACAAGCAATGAGAAAAAAGGGGCATAGATCTTCTTATATACAAATAGAGTAGAGTGGCGTATTAAGAATTAATAGAAAAATATTGTTTAATAACCACAGTCGATTGACTTTGATATGTAAAAAAATGATTGCTTTGCGTATATTTAAAAATGACTAAAATATAATTTTTAAAAGAGCGCCACCTTAGCACGACACTGCCACGACGCTGCGCATGCGCACTGCACAACTTTCGTAGCTCAAAGGGCTGCCGCGTTTCTCGCGATAAATCAAACTCCGGATAAATAACGATTTATTACAAGTGGCTAACGCTACTCTGCCTACATCTATCCTCGACCCATACGTCGTTATAACGGGTGTCTTTTCAAGTGCCGTATAGGAGATTAAAAAAAGCTCTTTAGTATATAAACCATACTAAATTAATCCCACAAGACACAATGCCCATAAGCCATAAGCAGCAGGGCTAAGTCAAATTCTGAAAAAAAGGCCAGGTATACCGGGTATTACAGAAATAACCATTTAATCTGAGTCAACGATAATTTCCTTCTTATTTAATCTTATAAAACTTTCAAATTGATTTATTATAAGGATGGACGATAGTTTCCACATCAAGATGGACTGTTGGATGCTACCTGGTATATCTAATTTAACCTAATTTCTTTATGGGGGCGCCACTTGCCATTTAATTTTTCACCAATCATATGAGTGATTTCCCATAAGCTCGACCCCGGTAATTGGAGGGAAAATGAACATCCGGTATATTTAGTGAATGGGGGGTGGCTCCAAGGGGGGTGAGTTACACTTATGATGAACGGCTCTTGTTACTGTTACAAGGAACAACCAAGAGCCATGGTGCTGCGGCTGGGTCTGGGATGAGTTCCAGTGCTGGACCACCAAGATTTAGCGATCCTTAACCCTTGTCTAGTCTGGTAACCCCCCTCGTGTGTATATATATATATACCTTTACATTATTCTTTGCACTTGTTCGTTTTCTCATCTACTTTGTCTTTTTTCCCGCATTTTTCTTACTTCTCGAAATTTCAGGAGGCAGTTACAAAAAGTTGGAATCTGCCAGACATTTATGGGATTTGTCTGAATTCTTGATTGTCAGTCAAGGCCATGGTCATCAGCCACACCGTAAAATTTGTACCACCCTGTATATCAAAAATCCGTTTTAAAAATGCTATTAAAGCAATTAGTTAATTTTGAGTTAAATATAAAATTGTTGAAAAAAAACTTTTTTATGAAAATATCAAATTGAAGTTTTGAAGATTTTGTGAATTTTTTGAAAAGCAACGCTACTCTCGAAATACGTAATATTTGAATTCCAATTATAACCCAAGTGAAAATTATACATGAGATTTTACAAGATCCCTGAGAATCTCTCGAATGGCGGAAACAACCCCTATGGCTAATTTGCATGCAATTCCATTACGAGCGTCATCCACAAAGACACAAGGGCGTCGTCTAACGGTTCAAGCCCGAGTGAGACTTTACAGTGATTAATGAAACGTGCGAGTGTAAAATCTAGATCTGCAACAAAGGGTGGTCGGAAGACTGGAAAGGGGATGGGGCTGAATTCGCAGGGGTGCATTTGACACTTTGATCCGCAGTTAGATGGTTCGCCATATCTGACTATTACGTTCCCTACCTACCATTCCACTACCCTCTGCATTTACCCCAGTGCCAACCCCAACCCCAACTACAACCCCCCCAACCTGAACTTCAACGACGGACTTGCATCTTCGCACCCCTCTGACGTACTAGATCCCAGTGATAACGCTTAATGTCGACAGTCCTCCCTTACACGTTGCACCCCCTGTTACAGGCTGAGAATAATCAAAACCTCCCTAGTAAAGGCTACGAGCAATTCTTAAGATCTCATTATAAAGAAAATAAGAAAAAAATACCCCTTTTGTATTTTTCACCCTCCGCTTTAAACAGCATTACCTTTGAATATACGTGAAAGGCATTATCTCGGATATCATCCGAAAAAAAAAAAAAATTTGAAACAACAATTTTATTTTTTTTTATTACGATTATTCTAAAAAATTTTAATGAAAAGTTTTGATACATTTTTTTTACTTGATTTTACTGCGTATATCAGATTTTTTTTACATTACTTTTAAATATGTATATATGTATACTAATGCTATGGATCATTGTATATACATACTGGGTGTTCTATATTGTACGGATTGGACGGATTTTCTGGTATAGTGTCTGCAGGCTTTTCTAACGATGTCGAAGACTCCTTTACCTAACAGGGGATGTGCGGTAAAGCATAACCCCTCATCGCAAAATCATACCCCGTAGGAAATGCTCCATTCAAATATCAAGATCTTCTCGACATATCGAGCATCAATGCTAAAAAGTTTGCAACATGTAGAAAATAACGAACCTGCGGATTTCTTTTGCTTGGTAAGAAATGAGAATCCATACGATTTTAACGCCTCCCTCGTTACACGTGCGTAAGTACGTGTAAGTGAGTACAAGTAGTTACATGGGCTTCTTGATATTTTTGGATTAAGAAAAAATTGTGAAAAATTTATTTTTCCAAAATTTTTATGATTCTCAAAAAATTCGTTTTTCATAATGCGAATCGAGTGAAATTTGTATTCACAAAATTTGTACATTTTTTTTTTGGTAAATTTTTAAACCAACTTGTACTTTTATATATATATATATTTATATATATATATATATACAATATATATACACATTACTTACATACTCGGCAGCACGACAGGGTCAAAGTTGAGTCAGCCCCTTTAGGGGTTGCACTTTGTACTCATAAAGATTGCATGCTGGATATTCAGAGCTTCCAGCCTCGTATATTTATGTCCTCGTTCCGTGCCTTCGCTATAAGTAGCACAGTTCTTTTTCAAAAGCCGCGCCAAAACTTTTCCAGCGATATTCGTTTGATAACCGGTATACGCCAAGTTGGCAAGATAAAAAACTTTCTTTGTCGTGACGCAACGTGCGCGGCTTATTTACGTCATACCTGAAATACGATACGTGAAAAAAAAATGGTGAACCCTGTTTCATCTACCGACGGAGACGAATTTTAAAAAAATTCCCCCAAAACGAATTCAGGTACCAACAGTCCCATTTATCAGATCAAAATTAGTAATTAGACCTAAAAAAATCGTTATATTAATTCCCACATAAGATACCAGATTCATTGTTGATTAAAAAAACGCAATTAACATAATTAACCCTATCACGTGATTAGTCTTGATTGTAAGAAAAATTTTTTTAAATAATAAAAAAACTAAATAGTTAGTGTTTTCGTGCAGTTGTCATAACGTGCATTCAATTGTTGACAACAAACAACTCCAGTAACAATGCAATTGTATTTATAGTCATTGTCATCTGTTTTCAGGTAAATGGTGGGAAATTTAGTGAGAGCGCCATCTACGTTCCCTGTGAGTAATTTGAGTAATTTGATGTGCCTGCCGTCGAATATAACGCGAGTGACTGAATAAAAGAAAGGCATAGATTTAGTGACTAATTGATCGCTATAGCTTTTGCTTGTTTTTAAATGCACCATCGATCCTTCTGGATGAGCGCTGGTATTAGCGCACTCGTTCTCCCATCCAAAGGGTGGCATCTTTTATTCCGACCTGCCACTCCAGATCCATGCTTCCCCTTTTGCAAGTACCTGTGTGACTAACCCACCCACCCTTGTACTTGCGTACGTAGAGAATCCCTCTACGCAGCATTGCTGAGTACATCCTTATAATGGATACATATATATATGTATGTATATAACTATATTATCACCCCTGAGAAAATTGGTCGAAAGCTTAGAAAATTGAAAAAAATGAAAATGAGCATGGGATTGGTCCTTTCTGTAATTAGAAAAGTTTACTTCGATTTGACGTTGAAACAAAAAAAATTGATATTGATAGTTTGAATTTTGAAAAAAAAAGTAACAGTGTATGTTTTCTTTTTATTATGACTGATGTTAAATTATGTTTCAGAGACCTACGTGTATGAAGTGGTTTGACGTTTTTGACCCAGTTCCAAAAGGGATGGTTACGCATTGACGAATTTATAGGAAAATGAATTTTATCAAAAATTCAAGATATGTGCTCCAAATTGTATTTCTGATACGAACCAATTGGTTTGACCTGTATATGATAAGAGGTGGAACGTTGGATTGAAATGGGAAGGTGATAAGATCGAATTGAATAGTATCGATTGGCTGAGGTATCGATTTTATCATACGTCCCTAAGACTGCTGCTGCTGTACCTGGCCGTTTCAAAATTTCCATCTGGTCGCACATGGAAACGCTCTGTTTGCCTTGTGCTCCCTGGTGTCCAGTGTGTGTTCCGACATTCTACAAATTGTAGGTTGGATCAATGGCTAGAGAGGTTAGGTACCTGCAGACCACATATGATATCAGGTCATACTAGACCACACATAGCATACATTCTAGGGAAAGATTCGAAACGTTATAAATAATTCAAGTGGACTTGGTAAAATTTGAAAATTAAAATTATGGTTACGCTTGGTAGTTTCGATGAGAAATTTTGAAAAATTCAAGTACCATACTTTTTCATATATTTTTTTTCCTTTTCTCTACCTCAATCGATATCACGAGATCCCCCGTATACATGTGTATTCGCATAAGGATCCTGGGTCCTTGACTACGCGTGGCCGACAATGACTTTCTTTGCACAGTGGGTGCCACTCGACGCGTCACCAAGCACCCTCTAACTCTGATAACCCTTATCATGCCTGCTACCTACTTCAAGCTGCTGCACCCTCTTGCAGCCCTATTGCCTTATCCTCTTCCATCCCTCTGTCATGACGATTCTTTCCTGCTACTTCCCTATGCCTTCACCTCAAATACCCTAGACTCGATGTCAATGGGCCCTAGGGAATTCACTGCGTTAAGTGATCACGCATGGTTGCAGGCAGTTGCGTAATTTCTGGGGAATTCTGAGGGAGATTTTTGTTTTATATTTTTAGGAGGCGAAGAGTTGCTTGGTATGATAATTTATTTTGGGTACTCGGTCTAGGGATATTTAGGAAATTTTTAGGACGCCCTCACTGTTTTAGAGTCTGGTAAGTTCCGTTGAAATCCGCTAGGATGCCCTGAAATACCATAAGTAAACATGCATTCAATTATTCATTCTCATTTCTGTTATATATACATATATTTTTTATTACACGTTAAAGACGTCAGAGAGGTTAGGAAGTTGAATTTCTGGGGAAACTTTTTATTCCTCCCTGTAAAGAATGTACGTCGAGTGACACTTGCCTTGATACGTAAAGTATCCAATTTTTTTTTTTTCAAGTGAGGACTCAAATTCTCAATAAACTCTCGAGGGTAATTTTGTTTCTTCGTAGTTCTGGAGTCAATCCGACGGATCGAAATAAATTTTTTATACGAAATTGAATAATATATCCTCGAACGAGATAGCGTTTACGTGATTTTTCGAATAAAATTTCTAATCGGAATTCAGGGTCTGATTTTTACTTGGTTCGTACCTGAGATACGGACAAACCATTTCGGGATAACAAAATGTCTCGTTCGTGGCGTCATGGCGATAACAAAAAAAAAAGGTCAGGAACGAAGTTAACCATCTAATGAGGCGACAAAAAACCCAAATGAAACGTAAATACAGAACGGTCCGGTAATTGCCTCGTCGTTGTTTCAGCCGTCAGACTTTTTACGAGCAAAAGGGGTTTACATATAGTCGACTGGCCACAGAATCCCGCGGGGTTCTTGACCCAAATTTCTTCCATATTTTTTTATCCCTTCACTTTTTATCTTACCTTCTTTATTGCGATTCCTCGTGTATTACGACCTGGCATGCACCAGGGTTACCTTGCGATTTATTTCGTTGCTACCCCGTTGACGCGACTCATCCTAACCTACCCCAACGTTACTATAGTAAAATTTTCTTATCCTCCCCTCCACCCCCTGTCGACCTTAAAAATTAACAAGAGTCAAAAATAAATATTCAAAAAATTATTTTCCTTTGAAATATTAACAAAAACAAATTAACAATTAACAAAAACTATATAATTTCTCATTTTATCATTTATCCCTCCATCAACCATCCCCTAAGCTTTTGAGACCTCAAAAGGGTAAAATTACTTTTTGGGGTCATGACGTGACATTCAAGTTCGAGGAATGTATTAATTGTATAATCCAATGAACTAAGGGTAGGTACTTTATCCACCCAGACCAGGGTTGATCTCTTTCAGAATATCATCTGATCATCCCACAGCGTCTCCACCCCTGTCTCCTTCCTTCACAATATGTTGATCGATCGATCACCCATGACTGTGCCTACTCGTTAAAATAAGAAAGTGCCAGTTGCCATTTGCAAAAAAAAAATAAAAAATTTCAGCAAGCCGAATCTGCCTAAAATACCAAGGCAAACGCCCTTTCCATCCCCTTTGCTCTTTTAACAGCAAGTAAAAAAAAATTCGAATAAAATCAACCTTTTTTTTATATTCCTTAAAACTTTTTTTTCCTTCCTTTCACCTTCAACGCTTCTGAATCGAGAATACAGGCAACTTTGACGTCTACAGATCCAGAGCATCTTGTATCCTTAACACTAACGTCCATCTGACGATATCAATCGTAAGGAATAATAATTTTTAAAAATGCAAATGCGAAAAAAATTTGTAAAAATGTTCCCAATTTTTTTCATCCGACATACGCCATTTTACCCACCAGCCAAAATCGGTTTATCCACATTCAAATATTCATTCCAAACATCTCCGGAGTTTTTGCGAATAAAATAGCAATCCTGTATAAAATACAGCAAACAGACATATTTATTTCGACTAAGGGATGAAATTCTTCAATAACGCCATTACACAAGTCTAAGACGCGTAAGTGACGTAACATACTGGTTAAATTGAAAGGAAGTGTCGAAGGAGGGGAAAGTGGGTTAGGGGGGTCCTGCACATACCTGATAATTCAGTGCTTGCGCCCTTTTGTCAGTAAAATTAGTTTATAAATTGAATAGTGTCGAAGCACCCCCCCCCCTCCCTCCCAGTATCTTCAGCAATAGTGCTGGCAAGCCAAAGCCGAAGGGGTAGTGGGGTAAGTAAAAGGGGGGGGGGGCTCGTACACTTCCGGTACACGCTATAAGCTACCTACAGTGAACGCCAAAGGATTCCTTTATATCCCATCCAATTAATTATGTACTAACTTCACTCCGCTCGAACCAAAGACGCAAACTTCAGGATGAAAGCGAAACACCTTGTCGCTCGAAGAAAATACGGTTCACCCATAAAACTGATAAACCGACAACCAATCTCGTAGCTTTCATATATTTAGGAATATTGGAATTCGACGGGCGTAAAAGAAAAAATTGTTAAATAAAAAATCCCATAATTTTTTTAAAAGCCAGTGTAACCCTGAAATATTATGGCGGCGTTGCAAGCCACGTGTAAACATTGTCCGAGCTTATCCTAATTAGAGGTTAGGGGCTGCGCGTAGCCAGACACCAAATCGTAACGGGGATAACATTAACAGGAGTCGTATGAATTAAACATGAGCCTTGTAGGACGCGTATAAGACGAAGAGTGTGGGTTTGGAAACCGTAACATTCGCATGAGTTACTCTCGAGCCGTTGAATATGTGTCTGGGTTAGGTTAGGTTAGGTTACACTGCCCCAGAGCTCCGAGGTACGATAAAGGCCTTAACACAGGCATTACGGTATAATTGCAATAAATTGTCGAGACGGTCGTTGTGCGAGAATTTTGAATTTGAAATCTCGGTTAAGAGCGAGTGCGACGTGAATTTAGTCAAAGAGGCTTTTATTGCCGGTTGAATTACTGTGCGAGGTGTAGGAACAGCTATTGCGTGATTATTTACTATTGTGACTGTACACTGGCGACTGGTGGCTGATGGGTAACGGGACCGAAGTTTCCGTTAAAAGCAATCGATTCGATTTTAGGAAAATGCATTTCGAATCGATATATTTTTCAAATGATTTTGGTTTGGTAATGGGGGGATGGGGAAAATGAGATAGTCGATGGTGGGGAGTAAGCAGATTTTTAACCCTTCTGGGAAATTGCGTTATCGTCGGTAAAATGGCGGTGGCTGCTTTGCGTACTGCAAAGGCGGAAAGTTTCACAGGCGCTCTTTAACTTTTATTCCATTGATCTTTTGGAATTACTTGAACCACTGGTTGAAAATTTGAAAAGAGTCAAACCCTTGAGAAATTTAATATGGCCGATGGGTTAGGGTAGGCTTGTACTTTGCTCGAGATGACTGTACCAGATGGGGATTCACTTGGTGAAGTGTAGTAAAAGAGCTCATTAAGATTGTTGAGTTTTTACCACTTGACAGGCAGTACATACACTTCAGGTGGTGTATATGAATATTTTAGTAAGGGGTGTTCACAACGTGAACCAAATTGATTAATCGATCGGGGAATATCGATATTTTTAATTTTCAGATTTTTGAAATTTTTTATTTATTTTTCTTTTACATAATTATTTTGCTCATTATTTCTCTATTTATAGGATTGGTATTGTATACACTTATGGGGTTAATATTGTACGTTTTTGTAGGGTCGATACTGTATATGTTGATGGGGTTTATACTTGCACGTGTCATTAACGTAACCATAAATACAAATGGGCGATGGGCAATGGGCAATGGGTTTTGGGTCCTTCGACTATCGTTATGGTTCAGACCGAAAAAGATTTACGTTCAATAACAACGTTGAATGCCGACGCCATATGTCCGTGGAAATAGGCCGGGGCGGCATGAAATTGCGTGGAAAGTCAGCTCCGGGGATTTAGCCGCACATGACGTTTACATTCAACCAGAACTTTGTCTCTTTTCTTTTTCTTTGTGTTGCGAAACGTTACGCACTGGCCGATACTCTGGCTGGATTTGAATGCACAAACGTTATAAGTCTTTTGCAGGGTGTTGGAATAAAAATCGATGAAACTTTCATCTAGGAAGACGGCAGACGATGTAATCTTATACTGGGTGATCTGAAAGAAATATAAAAAGTGGACAAGACTGCGGTAGAGTCAACGATCATTGGAAATGATGAAATCAAGACACTCAATATCCAGTTATAGAAAGTGAGGTTAGGTTATACCATGACTAGGGATAATTCTCATGATGACCACGTGTCATTCTACGTTTATCCATAATTAGTGATAATTTTATTTTTTTTTTTATTAATAATCAGTATCCATAAATTTGTTAATAATATACATATAATATATCCCTATTTTGTTTTAGCAAACTGTACGAACAAACACGACAAGAAGGAGAAAGGAAGCGGCAAACTTCAGGGGATTTCATGACTAAGGAACATGGAACAGGAACTAGGAACTTCTGCCGGAAGAGACACTGTGCAATTAATCGTCCAGGCAGTTCCTGTAGAAGATGTCTAAAGAACCGTCCGCTGTAGTAATACTCTAAAGGAGTAAATAATCCTCGGATTTATTAAAACATTCTTTGCCTCTTTTAAAAATTCATCGACTTCATTTTCTCATTTGCCAGCCAGATCGTAAATGCAAAGAGAAACTTTTTTTTTCTAAATTATCACATGTGGCAAATCAATTGTCTGCGTATATATATATATATATATATATATATATATATATATATATATATTGGCAAGCTTTCTCATGTGTATAATCGGGCGAATTTACATGTGACTCTATGACCTCGTTATTCGACATCGTTTCACTATTTTTCACTGGCTTCGCTCCAACTACGCTAATCACTTGAACATCGTTGTCTTTGTCTTCCGTTAACGTTTACACGGTCGCGACTTAGTCCTAGGTTAAATATTAAAGCCGGACACACTACAGATATACTTGAATGCAATATGAAAATATGAGTTATTTTTGACAATTAACTAAAATCAAGTCTACACAGTTAACCCCGAAACGGTCATTTGTTTTTGTTTTCCATTTGAAAAACACTAATCTGAAGTGTCCCAGACACACCCACGTGTCAGCTTTTAGATTAATAATTAAAATAGCTGATTCGCCCCATTGCAGCATACAATTTTTATACTTCGTCAAAGCACGATATACCCAAAGTACAAGTAATTAAGTCAAAAAATATTTTTTTTTCAAGATTTATCATACAACAAAATTTTCAAGCACACGTGTTACAATTAGTAGTGGAATGACGTAGGTTATATGTAATCACAAAAAAAAATTAGAAAATAAGAGCATTACCTGCACTTTCTATTCAGTACTGCATACGTGTATGCATGGGAGTCGTTTCCAGCTCACGATAATATATATCACAGGAAGTACACGTATCTCTATTCAGACTCGTGTTCCGCCGGTTAACCTAAATGGAATTCCTGCGTTACAGACTGCAATGTGTAACGTGCAATGCGCTTTTGCGTAGAAATAATAGGTTGCTTAATTGAATAACTTCAGCACGGTGGCATTACCTCTGTGTTATTTTCTCTAATTGTCGAGTGTCACACAGGCTTTTCGTTGAAGCCACCGTTAACATGGCAAACGTCCATTACAGTTCAGGTTACACGCAACAAATTCAATTCCGAAGTTACATTTGCCTGTAACCGACAAGTAATTTACGGTGGTTTGGAGCAATTTTACTATAAAAAAAAAAAAATAGGTCTTATAAAAAATGATCAAAGTTCAGAATGATCCCTGTATCTTTTATATAAAAATTTCTATACCATACTTGTCTCTCTAACGTTATCTGCCTTTGCTTGAAATATTATTATTATTAGACTCAATATTATCTTCTTCTCATATCCACTGTATCTTTCACCAAGTCCTTGGCTACGATCCTCGAAAGAGAAACACGTATCTATTGACTTTGATCTCCTCGAATGGTTCCTTCAACCGACCTTTTCTTCGCCGTGGGAACAGCCAGACACCCTCCAAACACGAATGGGGCCAATGTCAAAACATTTGATGCACGCTCGACATATTTCTTTTTTTTTCCTAACCTCCCAAGCATCTGCTTTGCACTAAGATCGAAGTGGCTGGCTCAAGTGACCAGTGTCAAACGAGTGTCTGTTCTCTATCCACCAGCTGATCAGGATTGTACTGGGATACATGAGAATCAAAGGAAAAGTATGAAATGGAATTTAACGAATTTTTATTACGTTCCTACTAGTAAAAATTATTTGGCCGTTTAATAGGGTTCGTTGAACGAATCTGGAATTTTACTAGGGTTATTTTCATCTGCTTCAATCGTTTCCGTTAGTCATTTAATTGCCAACACTTGTGGTACATGCAAAACATATGCAAGGACATATGTTTCTCGTTGCATCGGTAAACCCATGTGATATATATATACACACATATATGAATGAAATTAATTAAAATATACGGAATTGCAAAGTGGCGCCATCTCGTTCGTACCGAGTTAACTAATCAGCTGTGAAACGTATCGGCATCCAACGGCACTCAGCTTTTATCATATAACCGGTTAGACAATAAATTAGCAACTGAAAGTTTTCCTGGCGGGGGGGAGGTCAGGTTTGGGTTAGGGGGTGAGACAAGAGAAGGAAATCGCGCTATCATCTACCATGAAAGTTATAAAAATGAGGATGAACTTAACCTACCGGTTTTGTTCACCCCTTTAGCCGTTCCGTACTCTCCAATCTTTATCTGCGTCCTAATAAATCGACCCTTACTCCTCTGTAATCCCTTAGGAGAAAAAAGACACAAAAGAAATCCACGCTATCTTAATAACTCGCCGCTTGAAAGAATTTTCAGCATCCCTCCTGTCCTTTGTCACTGGTATTGTGTCGCGAACCCATGACGATTGTCGCGTACGACTATTTCACGATTTTATGGAAATTCGCCCGATAATATTCGTGCGATGAGAAAGGAACGAGAGGAAAGATAGACGGATTCGCATGAATCTTGAAAATTCCGTGAACCGAGCCAAACGTGACTTTTATGTGATTCTTCGTATATGGTATCTATGTCTATGCGTAACTCATGGGTTTTAACCGGCTGTGCTACTGCGCATGCGCGAATATACGAAGCGGGAAATTTAACGAGGTCGATGACGCTGCCGTCAGGCGTAACGACGTCGAAGGTGTCAATTACTCTGAATCCATATAATATATACAGGAACACGTGTGTTTGAGTACTGTGTATAGCGTGGCGGGGGTAGGACGGGGTGGATGTGCATGGACGTCGCACATGGCGACGCTGTTCTCTTTCCGGCTATTGCCTTTTATCTTACCTCATACTTGCTGAAATTGCAGTTTTATCTTGGTGTTTCGTTCTATGTGGAGAATCGAGGTATAAATAATGGAACAATTTAACACACGTATTGCTCGTCTTTATGGACGTCATCGGTCTGCTTAACGGGCACATATGTGTGATATATATATTGTGACGTTATTTTTGGACGTCACAAAGGTCCCGTATTGGTTACTTCCGTTTTTCAATTTCGGGACGCATTTACATCCCTTCTTCCAATCAAATATTACGCAACCGGCCAGGAGCTCCAGGGTCATAGGCATTAGGGAACATTAAGTTAATATTTTCGTATACAAATATTTCATACGTCACGACCACCTCACCGGAACCGAGCCAAAGGACAGAACCCAAAAGGACAGCGCCATGGACTCCACCCTACCTATCATTTTATATCGTCAATACCAATAGTCCCTAGTAATGGGACTAGTAACGAAGACGAGGAGGTCTCGAGTTCCGCGAGACTCCTCGTGCTGAAGATCAACGGGCCCCTGCGTGGAGGCACCGTAACTGGCTTGCCATAGGAGGCAGAAACGACCAGACCTACCGAAGTCATCAGGATCTCAGCCACTATCGTCGAGGACAGGGCCGGAATCTCATCGCCGCCAGAGGCCACTGGACACCCCGAGCTACGGCAACGAGGCTGTGACTATGTTCCGCGTGGCTAGCGAACTTACGATCAGGATGTCAAAGTGTTGCGTTTAGTCCGCGATTGGAACTTTTAATTTACGCCGTCCTTCCGAGTACTATGTATCGTTTCTCAGTCGAAGGCTCCGGCATCTACCGAATATTGTCGAAGTCCGTCTGGTAGGGGTACGGCGATTGAGCCACAGATGTCACTCTAGTATTATATCGTGTGTCTTATTAAGGAATAGTCCAACGGCATGACTTTTGTAACGGCGTAGTAATACGAGTATTGTAAACCCTCCCAAGGATCTAATTGGCTATCTATGGGCACTACTTTTAATGGTTAGTGGGAACGCGAGTCCAGCCCTGCAGTGAACTTTGCGTGTAGAACATTCTTGTCTGAGTTACCACCGTGGTCGGATGCGAATTTTGTATCGTCAGTAGTTTCAATCATACCGGTAAGAATCTTGTAACGAGTCACGACATTTTTCCATACAGCTATCTTTTCTTTCGTTTTCGGGTTCGCGTTTTTCCCAAGGCCTTCGCCTATGGATGATTTCAATATCGCTAACGTGGAAAAGATTCCGTGTATCGACTATATTTCTTTAGTGAACTATTATTTCTTGATTTTGTAATATTCTCTTAACGCAAAAGTCTCGTGACCCTGGAGACCTAACAGAAAGAATCCGCGAGTTCTCGCTTCACGAGGACGCGTGTAGTGTATCGTGTTTGTCTCGCCTCCCGAGACTTCACGTAGCGTCGCGTGTGTCCCGCTTCACGGGAGTTCACGTATCGTATACGAAAGTTTCGCAAAAGAATTACTTTAGATTTTGTTCGATTTGCCTAAATTGTTATTAATTACCTTTATTTGACTTGTTTCGGAATTATTATTTGTTAATTGTTGAAATTCTCAATCGTCCTGAATAAAAGGACACCTGTTATTGTTTTCCATTCCGAGGTTCTCATTCTCCTAATCAATTCCCTTACCAACACCTCGGTGATCCCTGCCCCTCTACCATCTCGCGAATTATCTGTGCTGGTCGGTGGCACTCTCTCCGTCCCTTCTGGAATTATTTTGCAGATTTCGTATCGTGACGCAAAGGTGCGTCTGGCGCCGAATCGGTCTTTTTCGGTATCGTATTCCAGGGGAATAGAGGTTTATAAATTGTCGACGGAAAATCAGCTGTTTTGCTACGAAGGGCTCGGGTAATCAAATTTGGTTATAATTCAAGAAGAAATTTTCGTCACAATATATACTTGCATTTATTTATAGGGGTTTATTTGTTTTTGATAGCTTTTTTTTGGTTTAGAACTTGGTTTTTTTTTATTTTACATTTGTTAACGTTTCATTCTACATCGCCACTCACAAACCCTTTAATTCAGTCTTTGTATTTTTATAGGACGGGGCTGACCACCTGAAAAAATGTTTTCATTTTAACCTTGTGGGTTTCTGTGGGCCGACGTGTTTCGATGAAAAGAAAATTATGCTATGAAATTTGAATAATTTCTTGACTTGCCGTTGTAAAAGGTTCATGAACATTTTTTGGATGGGCTCGTGAAATTTTTTTTACGTCCCATTTTAAACGTAGGTGGGTCGAACTTTTGTTTTAGTCAAAGTTTCATTGACCGGCCTGATTATGATATGCATTGTGGATTTTAGTAAAAATAATAATAAAATATATAGTCAACGATTATACGAAATTTTATATGATACTGTAATCCGCAAAAACGTAGTTTCCACTACAGAATACAAAAACGGCTGGTTTCGCCCGTATAGAAACTTTCACGTTTACCATACGCCATTTTGTGGTTTGGCGAACGCGAAATAAAACGACGCACCATCAAAGAAATTTCAAACGTCATGTATGTTTTCAGCTAACCTGTATCAGTGCACTTACTGCTGATGAAACGCGTACGCAACGCGAAACAGAAATTTGAAAGTCAAATAAACTCACGACACGAATTGATTAAGAGTTTCACCCAAAAGCAGTTACTAACATTTTCAACAAAAAAATTGTATTCGTACGTTAGTAAAAGTAATTAAAAAATACCAAAAACTTTTTCTAATCTCGAATCAACTTTATTGCGGAACGCCATTAAAAAAATACTCAAAAGATCCAATGCGATATTTCCGTAATGTAAATTCGTGACTTAACGTGATCCAAGAAAGCTTCCCAAACAAACCGTAGAGTAAGAACGGAGGAGCCACTGTCGCGAATTCTTAATTAATTTCTTTGCTCCAGTTGCCAGCAGACATAGTAGTAGATTCTTTCCGTCCTTGAATCCTTGGAATTGTCTTCGTTCACTGGTACATGCGCCATTTTCTTTCCTTAGTGTCCCTCTTTGTCATTCTCCTTCTCCGTTTTTCCCACCCCTGTTCATTCTCATATATCGATACTTCCTCTCCCTCCTGCTCACAATTTTGTTATTACGCCGATTTTGCGCCTGCCTGTAATTCATCATGGGAAAGAAAGTCATGGGTTAAACTAAGAAAGAGAGAAGGGTTTAAAAAGGGCACTTCTTTCAGTTCTTGGTCGTCAACTTGACAAAGTATCAAGTTCTAGAGTGGCTCGTGCACTCTGGCTGCTTTTCTAGATTCGTAGACTCTACGCTAGACTCCTTTTGCTACTCTGGGGTATAGAGTCTAGTCTACCCTATGGAATGTCCTGGAAAGCTCTTTTGGCGAAACTACCAAAAACTCTCTGGAATAATAATAAATTCATATTGTACTGGTATTCAACTCTCTCTCTCTAGACACATACATTATATATAATGCATAGTGGCATACATACCTATGCCACTTTCACACTGCAAATACCTACTTTATTGATGATATAAACCTGAAGATTTATTTAAATCTAGAAGCTGCTAAAATTATCATGAATCACAATGCCTTATTTTTTGGTCCTGCATGCAGAGATGTTTCTCTACAATTAGAAATCCTTGGCAAGATATTCCAAGAAGAATAAGAGAACAATTATCAGGTAAATGTCGAATAAATAAACATTGGCTTTTCCTTAAAACAATTTCATGTAGAAAATTGATATTTCTTTTTTACAAATAACAAAAAATCTTTGACGAACTTTATTCCCTTTTTAATTTACATTAATCCAACGAATGATCAATACAGTCTAACTGGTCCTAATGACGTATCTGCCAGTATACAAAGTCAGATTATTTTTCATACCTTCACAATTAGTACAGGCTGAGTCTATTCGTGGGTTCAGGTTAAAGAGCGCGATCTCTTTACAAAAAAAAAAAAAAAAAAAAAAAAAA